CCGCTGATGAACCCGTGCTGGTTGCCCCTGAGCATGCCGTTCCCTGCTGGCCCCTCCTGGATGCGTGCCAGAATAATTTTCTCGAACAGCTTGCCCAGGATTGAGGTAAGGCTGACTGGCCTGTAGTTCCCCGGGTCCTCTTTCCTCCCCTTTTTGAAGATGGGAACCACGTTGGCCCTCTTCCAGTCCTCCGGCACCTCTCCAGAGCACCACGAGTGTTCATAAAGCCGTGCCAGGGGACTTGCAATGACCCCAGCGAGTTCCTTCAGGACTCTAGGGTGGAGATCATCCGGGCCGGCTGACTTAAAAACGTCCAGCCCCTCCAGAAGCTCCCTAACTAAATCCTCACTCACTCGGCAGTCAGCAGCTCCCTCTCTTTCCCCCTGACAGCCCGGGGTCAGGGCTGGAGACCAGCCCAGCGCCTATATGAAAAATTAATCCTGGAGGGAACACAAGTTCCCTAAGGTGCTCTGCTTTTGAGTGCCTTAATTTAATACTTGATTAAACCAGGCTTAATTTTTTGCGTGATTGGCCATTTGAAAAGCAGTCTGCAGCCATGCACATATGTTAAGTCATGACTGTAGAGCACTTTCAGGGGCCAGATCACTCAAAAATTATCACTTCTGTCTGTGCCCACAGTTGTTCAATAGCTTTCTTGCAGGAGAAAATTTGCTTTTCCACAAGAAAGTTAGATCAATTCCCAAGAGGAAGATCTCCCTTTTCCAACTTAAATGGCTGTACATTTCTCTCAGGTGTTGAGGATACCCTATATCCCACAGTCCTTTGCACTCCCTCCTTCTCTCTTCCTTTAAGGGAGCACTGGCTCCCTGATAACCAGAGGTCTGGGTTTTCCATTTCCCACAGGAAAACAGAGTAAACCGCGGATTTTACCTTTTACTGGAGGCAAACATAGATTTCTCATTTTACTGGAGAAGCCTGTGGATTTTGCAGTTTTGCAGTGAGCTCCTTGCAGGCTGGCACAGTTCCAGCCCAGAGTTCCCTCTAAGCTGTGTAGCATGCACGGCTGCGCAGGCACACCTGGCAGCGTGGCATGAGTGAACTTGCACAGCCGCGCATACCATGCAGCTCAGAGGGAATGCTGTTCCAGCCTGCTGGGAGCTCGGAGGGAGTGGGAGGAGGGCAGTCAGGCAGGAGGCACTATGTGTACATACATGCACATGGCCCAGGCAACCTGGAGAGCAGTTCCCACAAATAAGTAGGTGGGGGGGATATTGAGCCCCCGTAGTTAGGGAGTGTGGGAGTTGGACAGGGCTGAGGCTGGGACTGGGGCTGCTGCTCAGCTGGGCAGTGCATGGGGTTTGGGGCCTAGGGCTGCAATGTGTGGCTGCAGGGCCCCAGCGGGGAGCAGAACGGGGCCGTGGGCAGCTTGTCCGGAGGGCAGGGCTGACTCCCCAGCTCTGCTCACAATCCTGAGGGACAAGGGGGACTTGTGCCCCCCAGATCTGTGCATAGGGCAGGGGTGGGAGTGGGCAGTGCTGGATTTAGGCATAAGCTAAGTAAGCTTCAGCTTAGGGCCTCACATTATGAGGGGCCTCTAAACCAACCCCGAGGCCATGAAGGGTCAGCTGTCAGACCGGAAATGCAAACTGCAGCCCCGCGGAGCCAGGCAGAGAGACCGTGACTCCTCCCACAGGGCCCATGGCAGCTGCAGTTGGGGTTTTGGCTCACCCTCCTCCCCCAACTCAGGTGGGGGTGACCATATCTTTACTTGTGTTTTGGCTGGAAATCCTGGCTGCGGGGCTCCACGTGTTGGTCTGCAGTTTGCCAGACCACGACCGCTTCCGGTCCACAGTTTGCCGGCCCATGGCATAGAAAGGCTGGGAACCCATAGTTTAGGGCCCCAGCATATCATAATCTGGTCACCAGAGTTGTCACCAGAGTGGTGTGGAGCTCTCAGCAGCAGGCAGCTTTTCCATGCAGCCCCACTGTTCCCTGCCATGGCAGGTCATGCCTGCTGGGTTGTGGAGGCACCGGAGTAAGGCAGCAGGGTGGGAGCCTGAGCCCACAGCCTGTGCCCGCCCCACGCACAGATCTGCAGGGCATAGGTCCCTCCTGCCCTCTTGGCAGTGCATGCAGCAGTGGGGAGCTGGCCTCCCCAAACCAGCCCCACAGCAGGGAGGCAGCAGAGGAGAACCAGGCTTCACTCTGCTGCAGCAGCCGCAGCCTCCTGCCAGAGGCAGGGGGCTGTGGACCCAGGGCCAGGACCCCATAGCCCTGACAGTGGGGGATGGCAGTGGGCTGTGGGAGGGCAAGGAGCACTGGCAGGGCTAGGGGGCTGGGGGTGGGGGGGAGAGTGA